ATATAATTTCAGATTGTGTCGACCTTTCCTTCTTGGTACTAAGAAATTGATCCTAGGTAAAAGAACCGTACTGTTAATATTGTTGTTGAGTAATTCATGCAGGAATTTTATACCAAGGATAACTCTGGTGGTGATGATGTGATCCCTTTCTGATTCGAAATTATAATTTTTTTCCTGGTCAAATATTTCGCGAATGCGTTAATATGTTTCGACAAACCATAATGCAGTATCTAGTATATCGTTCTAATTTTTTCGGTAAAATATTGTGGTCCACTCTGTTGAAAGCTTTAGATAGATCGCAAAATATATAATATGGAAATTGCATCTCTCGTACCTCATGACTGCAAAAGCAGCATCAGTTGCCTTAGGAATTTTACTGAAAGATATATTGAAAAAAGTAGTTATCTTCGACTCGGATATTATAATTAGAAAGATATTCCCTTAATCTATCATGCTAATTACATTTGTTGCATCAGGTTCATGACCACATAAATGCATTCAATATATTCTCGTAATTCATTTCAATTTCATACGCACAAATAGTAATGAGTGATTTTTTTCTCGGTTTCCAGTTGATATGTACCATCAAATCAACGCACCGAAAGAAGACTATTCCCGTAATTGTAAGACTGACTGATATTAACGACAACGCCCATCATTCTTTCAAAGATGAAGNGAGGTGAGTATTCAAATCAGAATTTATCACTAAAGTGCGAATTTTTGATCGACAATATCTAATAATTCCAAAACAATATATTAAACAATGATTGTGAGTCAAAATCGAGACAAAATGGATATTTCGTAACTGTTGAGTACTACATTTTTTCTATGGCTTCAACGTTGCTTGAGTAAATAGAGAAATCGTTGCCATTTTGGACATATTCAGTACCTCAGGGGCAGGTCAAGTCTGAAAATACTGTAAAGGATTTTATAATGGCTTGATTCCTTTCATGCTGCCTTTTTTGTCGCGAATTGCATTCAACTAAAATGTAAAGATTTGTCAGTAATACATCGTTTCATAAATTTATTATAAATTTTACGTATACAGTTTGACTAAAATTCAGGGATGTGTTTTTTCTTAAGTGTGTATATGTCAAAAAAAATCAATATGGTTAGGTTCGGTTGAGTCCGATGTGGTGAAGATACGGGGGTGTTTCCATAAGAAGTGAGACAAATTCGGATTTTTCAGGACTGAAATTTTTTCAGGAAAAAAGTGTAAATTGGGATCAATAGAACGATCAATATAATTTAATGTTTGAAGATGATTTCATGCAAATATTGTCCGCGGCTCCGCTTTAGATGGCCCATGCGCAAGGCCCAATTTTGGCACACTCTCTCTAATATATCGACCGGTATTTCACGTATAAATGCTTCAACATTGGCTTCCAGAGCGTCAGTCGTTGCTGGTTTATCCCTGTAGACATGAGCCTTAACATGACCCCGCAAGAAATAATCCAAAGGCGTTAAATCACACGATCTAGGCGACCAATTGACGGGCCCCGATTATGCCACCGACCCATAATCCACACCAAACAGTGACTTTTTTGGATGCATCGGTAGCTCTTGCAATGCTTGTGGATGGTCTTCACTCCAGATGTGGCGGCAATTTTGCTTGTTAACGTATCCATTCAACCAGAACACAATTTTTCGATAAAAATGTCGGTCTTCCTCCAACTTTGCCAGCGCCCATTCATCAAATTGCAAACGTTGTGGGAGGTCGTGTGGCTTCAATTCGTGCAACAGCTGTATCTTATAAGGTTTTACACCCAAATCCTTACGCGAAATTTTCCACGTAGTGGAGTAACAGAGGCCCAATTGCTGCGAACGGCGGCGAATCGACATTTCACGGTCATCACGAACACTGGCGGATACAGCCGCAATATTTTCTTCGGTCCTCACTTTACGTGTGCGTGTTGGTGGTTTAATGTCCAATAATGTAAACTGGGTTCGAAATTTAGTCACAAGCTTCCGAATAGCTCCCTCAGTAGGCCGACGAAACCACCCATAAATTGGAAGTAGTGCACGATGCACTTTCTTCACCGATCATGAATTTTGATAATAAAATTCAATAATTTGCAAGCGTTGTTCATTCGTAAGTCGACTCATGGTTAAATTATAGACCAAACTGAACAAGTTTGACAATGACACAAGACACGATTCATGCGTGATCTGTCAAAAACAGTGTTGCCAAAAAGATACCAGCAAAAAAAATCACTCATCATGCTCCTATGCTTCTAATCAAACTCCAGAAAATAAATATTTCGAAATGAAATCTAGAAATATTCATCTCTGTTAGAGTATTGGTACATGGGGCGTTTCTCCCCCGCTTGTGGCTTTGTCCACGAAATTTATGTTACTATATAGTTAACAATCTTCCCCTTAGACAAATATTTCATACACGCCGTTCAGCCGCATTGAAATTAATCGAGTCCCAGGAACTTTGCTGTTTGGGTCGGATATGTCCTGCACAGATGAGAGGTAATATCTCGAAACCGGACTGTCGGTGATCTGTCCAGCATGGTTTTGCTGCTGGATGAATGAGAAACATCTGCGAATCTAACTTCTCTGAGGCATCTTGCATAAATGTATGTTGGGTATAATACAATATCCAGCAAGGTATTAGCCGGGAAAGTAGCTGTTTTCTGGCAGGTATTTACCATTCCCTACGGTATAGGTAGTAGGGAGACATGACCATTTGGGGATTTTATTTCGAAATATTCATTTTCTAGAACGCATATATATCTCCTCATCAGACACGGTTTGGTCGCTTGAACTCTACATGATTTTAAATTTTTTTTAACATTCAAATTACAAATCGCGGCTCTTTCAGTATTGCCAAGGGTGTAAAAATACATTCGTCACTAACACACTAAATAGCAGATGGCTTCAATGAAATAATGAAATGGACAAAATCTACACTTTATCATATATTTTAATTTTACTATCTGGCATCAATTAGACCTGAATGAAAATATATTATTCAGTAATAAAATCTAAATGTTTTCGTACGTTTCAGTCCTTTTTACGCAAGCAAAGTCGTAACTAGGGTTTCCCAAAAAAATTCTGGAATCTAAAAATACAGTTCCCATAAAACAACTCCGGAGAAATTCCTTAGACCGATTCTGTCGAAATTCGGAAATCAACTCGTGTCAGTACCTATCAAGTAGGCATGTTGAGAAGTCCCCGTGAAGTTCCTCATAAACGTCAATCCAAGCAGGCTGCGTTTCACTGATAATATGTCACTTTTTATTAGGGTTATATTCAGTATTTTTGTAATGCCGAAAGATTTTGACGGATTTCGAAATCTCCCGATCAATTTTTAGTCTTATACAATTATGAAAATTATTTCGATGATCATCTGATCAATTTTGACAGTGTCTTCAGTTTTCTGTTATGATAGTTTAGCTGGAAACTTGTTTTTGTTCCAGGATCGAGCTAGAGAGGAATCCCAAAGGTTGTCTTCTACAACGACGCTAACTGTGAATATCAAAGATGATGATGATCTTCCTCCCTCGTTCATTTACAAGGGATGCATGCTATTGGACGGGTCTTGCATCAACCCGGAATATTCTGCTTCGGTAAGTCGACTATAAACATATTCATATTTGTTTCTTGGAAATAACGACTTCGAAAGTTGAAATTTTGACTTCAATCTCGAAATCATGATTTTCAACTCGAGATTTGGACATTGATTTTGAAATTACGACTTTCACCTCAAAATTTGGACTTTAAACTTGAAATTTCGATTTCAACTCGAAATTTCGACTTTTATCTCAAAAATTCGACTTTCAACTAGAAATTTCAACTTTGATTTCAAAATTTCTACTTCAGTCTCGAAATTTTAACTTTCAACCCGAAATTTGGACTTTAATGATAAAATTATTTCAATTTTGATTTTGATCTCGGAATCAAGAATTTAATCTCGAAATTACAACTTTAACCGCGAAATTTCGACTTTCATCTCAAAAATTCAACTTTAATCTTAAAATTTTGATTTCAAACTCAAAATTTCGACTTTGATTTTAAAAATTCGACTTTCAACTATAAATTTTGACTTCAATCTCGAAAATTCGACTTTGAACTCGAAATTTTGACTTTAATTTCAAAATTTCGACTTCAATCTCGGAATTTCGACATTCAACTCGAAATTTGGACAATTAAAAATGTCGACTTTCAACTAGAAATTTCGACTCTTATATCGAAATTTGGACTTTGAATCTTGAAATTTCGATTCAAAACTCAAAATTTCAACTATAATTTCGGAATTATGATTTTCAACTCGAAATTTCGAAATTTTGAAAGGAAGATCTTCCTCTTGAAGATGATCACTTCGTGATCGAAACACGTGTCGAGGTGTTAAAATAACTGTTTGGTGTTGGAAAAAAACTCTAGTAGTATACGAATTTAATCTCGAAATTATGACTTCAAACTCGAAATTTCGACTATGATATTGAAATTTCTAAAAATCAATATGAAATCGGCAGTTCCAAGTGTCGGTAATTTATGACGAAACTGTCGATAATCGATAGTTTGAAGTAATGGGCAGTTCAAAGTGTCGATTATTCATAATCGAAGGTTTAGACTGTCGATTATATACATATAATACATCATATACATATAATATGAACTGTCCATTTTAGCAAATCGATACTTTAAACTGTTGAAAATGTATAACCAGCAGTTTAAACTGTCGATTATTTATGAACTGTCTATTATAGCCACTCGATACTTAAAACTGTCGATTATACATAACCGACAGTTTGAACTGTCTATTATCTATAATTATCGATCTGGAATATTTTGCTTTGGTAAGTCAACCATAAATATATTCATTAGTCTGGGAACGACAGTTTCAACTGTCGATTATATATAATCGACAGTTTTAACTGTCGATTATATATAATCGACAGTTCAAACCACCGATTCACATAAACGACCGTTTGAACGGTCGATTATCTATAATCGATAGTTTTAAGTGTCGGTTATTTATGATAAAACTGTCGGTTATATCTAATCGACAGTTTGAAGTATTGGTTGGCCATAATAGATTATGTATAAACGACAGTTTAAAGTGTCGATTATGTTTAATCGACCGCATATTATATATAATCGACCCTTTAAAGTATCGATTATAAAGTGAAAATGCGCTATATGGCCTTTTATCGCTTTCGTACAAAACACAACTATTGTTGAACAAATCCATACATTACGAAGGTAAGAATAGACAACACAAGTTGAGTCAAAGGAATCTATTACCTGCCGCTTTATTTCGTCTTTGTGCCAAAGTTGAAACAGGTGTTGATACCGATTCAGTAGCTACGCAAGAAAAAATTAGGCGCATTCTTCGGGAACGGTGATCCGTACACCTGAGATCACACCGCAGAATTCTCTAGAGAAGGTAATATGATATATTGTGTATGCGCCATTGACGGACATATTCACGGGCCTTTTTTTCGAAACGTTTTCCCACGATTCGTCGCCGATACTATTCCCATGTATGATTCGACAAAGTGTTCAAGAGATGAATTTGCATACCAATTACTTCAATTACGATCGCTGGATGATGTGGGTCATTTCTCAACCTATTTCGCAACGATGTCACTGCTGAATATTATGTAAATATATTATGAGCTTACTGTAATATCATATATTCAAAAATTTTGATAATTCTTCCAGAGTATCAAGTATCCTATTATAATGATATTGATAATTATGAAATCTGATTATCTCATAACGTAAAAACGATGAAAAAGTCGGTTTCACAGAATTTTTTTTCAAAGCCAAATGATTAAGAAGAAAATTACTAATATCATATATTCGAAAATTTTGATAATTCCTCCAGAGTATCAAGTATCCTGTTATAATGATATTGATAATTATGAAATCTGATTAGCTCATAACGTAGATAGTCGTATTTCAAGTAATGCAACAACAATTAGATTTTTGTTATGAATAATGACAGCGTACGCAGTGCCCTCTAGATATTGCATGGAAATCAATATGAAATTATGATTTGCCACGTCAAAAAACCCGGGTTCCAAATTTCGTAAATTGTCTCAGGAATACGTCTTATGTTACACCCTGTATATGGCTTCAAAATGATAAGAATACCATCCAGTTGTATCTTGTTTTGCCCTGATCGATTATTAAAAGCTCTCCAAAAATTACAGGTCTCCAGTGGCGTGCTCCACGGCATCCTCAACGTGTCCCCAGAGAAAATCCAAGCCGTCGACATGGATACCATCAACTCGCCGATACGGTACTCGTTTGTGAGCGGTACCCCGAATTCTTACGTGGACTACTTCCGAATCGATCCGGACACCGGAGCCGTGCACCAAACCAAACCAGTAGACACTTCCACGACGAAGAGATTTGCCATAATTATCAAGGTGAGTTCGAATATAGCAGTGTGTTCTTTGAAACGGTGTTTTACAGGTTGCCAAGTTTGACCGACCTTTCCACCGATTTTGTAAAAATACTCTGGATTGAAATTTCGAACAGTTATTTTAGTTCCGTCTCAACCGATTATTAGCAAAATAAATATTTTTCATAGCTTAGTTTTATTATCCATCAATATTAATTTGAGTGTAAAAAATAGCAAATAACTGGTGTGATAGTAACTAAATATTATAATGTTTATTCGACATATTCAAAGATCCCAAACAAAAATACGGAAAAACAATTAANATCTTAAAATTTTGATTTCAAACTCAAAATTTCGGCTTTTAACTTGAAATTTGAAGTTGAATGTTAAATTTTGATTTCAATTTTGATTTTGATCTAGAAATTAAGAATTTAATCTCGAAATTACAACTTTAAACGCGAAATTTCGACTTTCAACTCAAATTTTGGACTTTGATCTTAAAATTTTGATTTCAAACTCAAAATGTCGGTTTCAATTCCGACTTTCAACTCGAAATTCCGACTTTAATTTCGAAAATTCGACTTTCAACTACAAATTTCGATCTTATTAGATCTTATTGGATCGGGCACACTTGCAGACCGGTTTCGGGCTCATTGACCACTCATCAGTGTTCAAGCATAGCCCACTGACTAATGAGAAAGTTTTTCTTCCTTATTCAGAGGAATCGGGAAAATTACGGATATGCAGTTGGTTAGTACCTCGCCCACTAGATGGAGTGACATTTTGTTTCGCTCCAACTTTGGAATAGGAATGAAATACTCTGAAAAAGTTCCGATTTCCAATCATGGAATATCATTGACTGTAGGTCGATGAGTGCACTGATGAGTGGATAATGAGCCCGAAACAGGTCTGTAAGTGGGCCCGATCTAAAATTGAAAGTCGACTCTTTCAGTGGTATTGCCAATTGAATATGCAGGAAATTTTCTGTGAAAATTCTTGCACTGACGCCTGTCGGATATAATCCAACGCCCTTCGTGGTATTAACCAGGGGAGTAGTTGTTTTCTGATAGGCGTCGGACCATTCAACCTACTGTGTAGGTATATTCGAGACTGGCTTGAACTTTAAAGTTTATTCCTTTAGATTTGAAGAATGCTGTTTTGGATTTTTTTTTGAGTCGATTATTTGTATTTTTCGTCATTTTTTGAGGTTGTTTGAATTTATCTACCGCGTGCTCTTGATGATACAAATACAATCTGAAACGTTTGCCCTAATTTAGGTAATTCGAATCACGAAGTAGACTTCGAAGAAATGTAGGAAAATGGACACAAGAATTGTCAAATCGTCAATTTTTTATCCTGAAGCATTCTGTAAACTTAAAAGATTTCACTTATTTTTTATCGTCGTACAAGAAAAACATAATTTTCATCTATCAAGTTCTCAGTTTCACCATCTTTATGTTCAACAGTTACCTCAATGAATTAAAATTGTTTTCATTTTCGTACAGGCCCAAGAAGTGTCCGAAGCCAAGCGATCCACAACGGCAAAACTGTTCATCACAGTAAAACCCGTAGACGCTCACCCACCGGAAATAAAGTTGTCCGCCACGGAAGGTTTCGTCGACGAAAACGCCCCCATCGGAGAGAAAGTCGTCGACGTTGATGGCCAGCCTCTGCTCGTCACAGTCGAAGATAAGGATTTCGTAAGTGATAGTCAATGAACGAATTCATAGTTTGCAGTAATGGTTATCCGTTTTGAAGGGCCCTGAGGATCCCAAGCCGAGCTACACATTCGAACTGACCTCGCCCTATTTCGTCATAGACAAAGTGGGTCACGTGATCGTCAACGAGAACAACTTGGATCGGGATCCGCCGAATCCCGGGAAATTCAAATTTCAAATCGTGGCCCGCGAGAAGCCGGGAGTGGCTGCGAGCGCCCCCACTTCGGTCGCGGTGACGCTGCGCGATGTCAACGATAACGCCCCCATGCTCCCCATGATAGCGCCGGTTTCGGTGCCGGCCGGAGAAGGCAAAAGGGTGGTCACCACGATACAAGCGACGGATAATGATGAAGGTAGGATAGTGATATAAAGTAGATCGTGATATAAAGCAGGGAGTTCCCCAGGGTTCGAATTTAGGCCCCTTTTTTTTTAAGTTTTTTGCTAATGATCTAATTACGGTCATCATTAAAATAAACTCGGTATTCGTTACAATTTATGCTGACGATACAAATATTTTGATTGTTGAAGACAACATGGAGGCACTCCATAAAACTGCTGAGGATATATA